GTTCGCAAATGTATTATGCCACGTTCCCTCAAGAACTGACTTACGGCTAGGGTTTGAAAGTTGATTCTTCTTGCAACCTAATAAAACTAAGGGTTGTTTGTTCTATAAAGAATAGAAATTTTAACGAATTTTTGGAAACAAATAGTATGTTTGATCTCAATGAGTCCTAAAAATTTTTGTCAAAGAAGTTCAAAATGTACGGTGCAAAGCAGTACTCGAATATTGACAATGAAAGACGAAGTCAGCTGTTGAATTGTCTAGCAAAATGACTCATATCGCGACATATGTTTGTTGTGTTGCGCCTTCTTAAAAATTTCCCTAATTCTCTGACCATCTAAAATTTTCGTATTCAGAATTATTTGTGCATACTCTTGCCAGTCAATTCCCTTAAAAAACTAAAACCAAATGAAAATCAGTGTTGGGAAAGGCTACTACTACGCAAAAACTGCTCCATTCGCGGTTGTGCATCTGCACAAACCATGAGTTCACTGAATATTCGTGCAAACTTGTAAGCCTCTTTCTTCTCATCCTCGTGATTTGTAAAGAAAACGTTCTTATTGCTTGGAACCAAACGTTGCGTATCCTTCCCATCAGAAGTTCCAGGTTTAGATATCAAGGAGGTGATGCCTCCCTTGCCAGGTGATCCTCATCCGAGTCGGCAGTCGGACATCGACGGCTTGGGTTTGAGCCATCCAGGTGTGAACAACTCATTTTCTGGCCAGATGTCCTCTTTTTGATCAAAACTTTAAAATATACTATTCCCTTAAGGAGTTGAAAGTCTCGAAACCAGCCAAGGAGATGACCATCCTTTCAATGTCATCCTTCGGATGAATGACTTCAATGAGGTAGTTTATTTTGGTTTTAAATGTTGCGTTTTTTTTTAAAAATTCGTAGCATATCTTCTTTTAACGCTTCTTCTCTGTTTCTTATTGTTGTTCCCACTTTTCATCGATTATGTAGATGAACTTTGAGCAAGGGTTATAATGCATGTATGAGAGCCGTCTTTATGGGAAAGGGCTGTTTCGCTAATTCAGTGATAAGAAAATCCTGCATAGCAAGCTAGCCATAGCGTCATCCCGAGAAACACATCTGATACCATTGCTCATCCTCGTTTGGGTAGTATTTTCTTTCACGTATTGTAAGGCTGTGGCTATAAAGTCGGTG